AACCACAAAATGAAAACATTTTGTTAATCTGTAGAATTTTATTTGAACAAGTTGATACAAAACCAGTACGGTACATCAAATGAACCAAAACAAGCAGAAACAGACTTGGGCATTGTCAAATAAGGCACATATAAAAAAATCTACACGCGTAATCCAGTGAAACAGACAACTTATATATATATATATTTGGAGGTAGAAATAATTACAAAAATACTGACAAATCTTAAGCAGTAGCAGACTTGTTAAAACAATTAACTACTTAGGTCCCCATTTTGAAAAGTGATCTGTAAAATAACATTTATTCAGCATCCTATGTTGTTGGCACATTTGGGCCATGTATGTTTTTAAGCATCAAAAGAATGCTATTGGTGTTAAAAATTTTCAATACCATGAGGAATACAATAAAGAAACTACAAAAAGTTATAAATGTTCATAAAACCCATGGTCATCAGTAATGTAAGAGTCCTTGGGGTACAACATCACCTTTCTTCCTTGAACTCCACAACATATTTACATTTTAGAGACCTAACGAAGCTTTTAATAGTGTGGCTATATCTGCCGGAATGGTTCCTTCTTCTCCTGAGGAATAAAACCAAGCATTAGTACAGCTCAAAATACTTCACATAAACAGGCAAAAATCTAGATCCCCAAAACTGTACAAACTCCTCTACTTGTAGGAGTCTGTCATCGATTTGTGGGTCAGATTCAGAGGGCACTTCCTGTCAAACCGAACAATAATCATCACAAATACATCTTTCTAGTTTATTTAACATAAAAAAAAGGCTTGCCTGCATCAAGAACCTTGTTTTTTCAGAATAATATATTGCAGCAACCTTAATTCACTTAAGTGGACATCATTATGTGCAAGAGACTTACCTGAATCTGCTGCAGTCATATCTTGTTCTAACTTCAACTTCTGCTGGCTGATTTTGAGCATGGATTCTTCAATAGTCCCCTTACTGATGAGCTTTATGACTTTTACTTCTCTGAAAACCACAAAATAGGATAAATCCATTTTTATAGTTGCTTTGGATTAGTGCAAAAGGGAAGGATGCTATGCCTTTGGTCAGCTGCCAGTGGTTTAAAACAAGAAAGAGGAAATGAACAAAAGAGCTTGTAGTTTTTCTGGTCTGGACCAACTGTGCTCTGTACTGCTAGAAAACTTGTTTTCTCCTGCACTCCCAGCCACCGCAAAGTCTGGACGGTCACAAAAATCCCCGTTAATAGAAACAACTCAACTTCCCCTTCAT